ACCATACAAATAATTAATACTAAAGCATTTAAATTCTTCCTACGGTTACAATTATGTTTGAAACATTATGTTCTATATTGACATTATAAATAGAATAGTATGAAGTTGCAGTGTTTATGGTGGTACTAGCTGTGAAAAACATGTTGGCCTCCTTGTTGGTTGTCTATCTAGTTGAGTTGTGGATATTTGAAGGGTTATACTATGTACACAGTTCTATAGTTTAGTCTTAATATATGGTTCACTCGCCTCTTGTCAACGTCCATGCGTGTGTAAGGATAAAAACGTCCATAATCGATGAAAATTGTCAAATCAATTTGCTATGGTACTGCATTTTCTTGGTTGCTGTGAATATTGGGCAAATTGACCCTAGAATTAACCTTATAAAAATTCTCTTACTTTTTGGCATAGAACATTGGATTTTGATTTTTGGTATTTAAACAAAGAAAGTAATTGGCAGGACTTCTCTAGGTGTTGTTTAGGTGTTATATTTCTCATATCTTTTGGTGTTGTAGTTTAAATCTTTGGCTTGATATTGTAATAACAGATTTGTAATCAATAGTTTTGTTATCATGTAAAGAATTTCATTTTGTGTGGAGAGTAAGTGGTTTTATTATCACTGGTAACAAGCTTCTAGACCCCTCAAGACAACAACTACTCATCATAGAGGAAGTATCTGACGCAGGTAACCGCAACCATGCACCTTTTTAGAGGATGAATTATAGTCAATCTGTAAAGTCTTGTACCTAGCCGAGAACTGCTATGATGGGACGATTGTGATTCATTAAGACGCTTCCGCATGATCATCTAAACTGAACATAGGTCAGTGCTTCAGCAAAGGGAATGCAAGACTAAATCAATCAACCTTTAAAAAGCTTCGTTTTTTTCTTTCTAAAACAACCTTTAAAAAGCTCTTAATTTTTTTTTCATTTTCCAGTTTATTTAACACCATTTAATTTCGAACACCATTAATTAATTTAATTTATAAGTCTTTGACGCCTCTGACTTATAAAGTAAAATTCTTCCGATCATTAATATTCTTAACATAAGAGTATATATATTTAAAATTTATATTTCCTACTATATAGATTCTCCAATCTACTCTACTAATTCAAGGTCCTTTTTAGAATAAAACCTTTATTCTATGTGTTTATATACTAAAGATTGTAGATAAAAGAAGTATTTTTATAATTGTCTAGTGAAAAATAAAGAAATGTTAAAAAAAACAAAAAAAAAATCCTAAGACTCTCTCAGGCACGGTGCTCGAGGCACAAACCAGATATATTCTCTCCGGCGCCGGCAGCGGCGTATCCTCTCCTTCTCCCTCGCGTTCCTCTTTTCTATGTGTTGGTTATTCGTTCGTGTTACTTAGATGGTGGGAGGAAGGCGAACTCAACAGAAGTTACGACGGAGATAAAGATTCTTTGTAACGCTTCTTCCGGTGGTTCTTTCTTCCCAATTTTTCATTCCTTCAGAGATGAGTAGAGAGGATTATCTCGCCGCCGCTTCTGTTTGCCGTCAGACAAGTCACACTGTGCACTATGTCTAAGCTTTCCAATTGTTTTCGAAGCGTCGATATCAAACGATGAGCTCAAGCTCCTCATCTGTGGTGAGACTTGAGCTCCACATACCACCGTGGGCTGCTCCTATTCTTCAAACTGGTATCAGATCTAAAATCATCACATGGACAGATCTGAAGTTCTTTGATATCCTTTCACTTCCTCCATACCGTAAAGTGATGCTCTTCTCCCTCCTGTCGATACAATTCGACGGCAGTTTGCTTCCTCTCCGACAAATATTTACCAGCGTCCTCTCATATGGTGTCGACGAATCCGCTTCCTCTCCGATGAATATTTACCGGCGACCTCTGATATGGCGTCGGCGAACGGCCCAAGTCCTTTGTGACACAACCCATGCTAACAACAATTACTGAGATGATATTATCTTATATTTTGACTTGGCTCAGTTGTAGTTTTGAAGCTGTTAGCCCAATGTTATACTTGCAAGGACCCAGATCTTTTGAAGAAAAAATCGATACGACAAGTTATGTTGTTTGGTGATTGGGTCAGATGCTCAGAGATTTTTGTGTTGAAAAAATTACGAAAGGGTTTACGAGGCTCAGTCCTTTTTCGATCATCCTCCTCTTTTGAGGAGAAACTCTTACCACCATACCATTTTTCTATGGAAAAGAGCGTTTCCTTGGTCTGGTTGCCGAGCGTTTGCTTCAGTTCCCTCATCGGTTTGTTATTTTGCGTAGTGGTCTCTACGGGACCTGAAGATGAAATCGAGATTACTTTAGTTTTCTCGTAGACGAGTTTCTGGACCTCAACGGCACACTATGTGATTATTCTTCAGCTGTCCGACTTTGTTGTGAAAGCTCCCTCAACACATTCAATGGAATATCTATCTCGCTTAGTTTATTTATGTCTTGTATGCTATGTTTATGGCCAAAGAGGATGGACAATTCCCACTATCTATTGTAATGATAAAATTTGAGTATGAACGAAAGTAAGTTTGTGTTAAAAAAAAAAATTGTCTAGTGAATGACTACATGTCGATTATTCATGTCGTGGAGATGGTTGATGATTCAGTTATACCACTACTCATTGGAAGACTATTCATGGTTACACTGGAAGCAACAATTGATCTTCCTAACAAGCGTCATTTGCAATAAATAAATATTTTTTATAAGGTAATACCTACCAGAAGAGCTCTAACTCTGAGGCATGAGTCATGAGTTGGTGTAGATGTTCTTGGAAATGAGGTTAATGGTTAAAGAAAAAAGAGGTTAAATAAGTCATGGATTGCTAAAGTCAAAGTGAAGGGCGAAAGACTCAATTGTCATATTCTTCTTCCTTTTTTCCATGGTCGTTTGGTGATTTACCTTTCCATTATAGTCATCTAGCTAATCCACCATTGTTAAGAATAGCTGGTTGGACCAGTGCAATAGATTTGAACTAGCCTGTACATCCTATTTACAGAGTAATACATAAATTAGGAAGTCATGTTCCGGAGACATGTATAAATATACACAATAAATACGTACACCGAACTTTTTGGGATAGAGAGATGAATTAAATAAGAAATAAGAAAGCTAAAGTGTCTAAATAAACGCACGCAGAAGGTGTGAGCCTAAGCGTTTAGTAATTAGAGATT